AACAATATGCCCCACCTATTATATCAACTTACCCCGCATCCGGGGCATATTGTTACACTTGACTTTACTTCAAAATATTTACAAAATCTTTTATGTAACCAATTTTGTTCAATATAAGATATATAATTTTGATAAAGTACATATTTATATTTCACTTTTATTCAGTTTCAATCTATGATTCGGGTTATTTCGCTAAATATTGGACTTTTTCTAAAAATCGTAACAACTAGCCCCGGTCTCCCCTAGTATTTGCTATTTGATAAGCACAAAACTACACAATAGACTATCTGTATTATGGTCACCGCAGGTATTGAAATCCGATTTTTAGTGTGATAAGCTCTCAGACTTGCTGCTGAAGCACCGGGGGGTCTCACTAAGATGCTTATGAAGGTCTATGTATGTGCATTACAAAAATACCAGGTGGAACTTTCTTCGTGGTAGCTTTGTGGATGATGTAGACAGGTTCCATAGTAACCATAACACATTAAAATACAAAGACAATTTAGCCATGTTACTGACATATGTCCTCACTGCACATAACTAGGAGAATAAACAAGAATAATCTACCTAACAACTAAGGCCTCAGTCACAAAAACTTGTGGGAATCATGTAGTAATCGCTTAGTGCGTCTATCTGCCTTTTCTACTTACCATTGCCATAACCTCTTACAGACTTCATTAAATATTATCAGGGTGTGATATTGATAAATCAAAACCATCAGTCAAAGTTAAAAGACTTATATAGTCCTTTGCCAAAGATTACGTATATGCAATTAGTGGAGGTATGCCAAACCCTGCAAAGCACATCGTTTTGCCTTGGGCTGTGAAAACACTTACTGGATGTGTTGAGTAGATCCAGATTCTTAACATATTGGGACATACAATATCATATAGCCAGTTAGAGGAGATTGATACTGCTGCTTGTCTCCAGAAACTGAAATTTGTAGATTAGTTAAACATAGCCTTACCCTCTAATATTCTGTCTTGTATTTCAACATCTTTGTCTTTTGATAATATAGAACAAATAAATGAAACCCTAATTGGCGCAGGATTGTTGTTCAACCAATAATTCCAACCAGTAAACATCCCAAGAAGACCCTCTCAGTGAAAAAACTGAAAAAGCGCAGCATCACCCCTCCACTATCATTACTTTCGTCATACACTACAGGAAAGAGAGTAGGGCCTCAGTTTGTCAAGGAACTAATGAAGGTTAACTATGGAAAGATTGCGAAGAATGTGCAGATAAAGAATCATGTCTGGAGTTTAATGAGCCAAACTGACACAGAAAACCAGAAGGTCAGTTCCTGGACAGGCTTTAACATACAAACGTAACAATATAAGTGTGAGAATGGACAAGGACAAATATTTGCCTACCATTAATTCTCAAGCAACAGATATGTCTATAGTAAATGACATTCTTAACCAGACTCTGAAAATCCAAAATAAGCTTGATTTAACAGAGATAGTTTGTATCTTTGGCCAGGCACTGTAAGCAAAGGCCACATAAATAATATGGAAGAATGAATGGAAGTTCAAATCCATAATAGTCAGGATGGGGCATTTCAAATTCTCTGTAACATTATGACAATTATTGGAAAGTGATTTAAAGATGCTGGTCTGAGAGACCTGGCAGTTGAATCAGGTATCATTGTTGAGGATTCAATAGATGCTGTTCTGGATGGTCGAAAGTACAACAGAGTTTTCATACTACACAGGCTTGTCTATGAGGCTTTGATGAAATTAGTCTGGAAGGGATTTTACATTTGGTTAGAGGAGCAGCATCACGTTGATAGGCTTAAGGTAAATGACACTATGGTCCTAATGGAACAGTTTCACGACAACATCTCATAAAACCAGTTGGATAAAGTAATCAAAAAGGATACCAAAGGATACAGTCTAAAACCTGGTGCAGTAAGCAGGTATTACAAAACAGCAAGACAGTGCTAATTAAAGTTCCTGTATACATGGAAAAATCCCCCTTTTAGAGAAAAACTTGGTGGCAAGAAAATGTTTGCAACATGTCAAGACTGGTATTTTAGAATTACAAAAGGTGAAGTCTGTAGTATTCATGAATTGGTGCAACCCAAGAAGAAGCAAATACAGGTAACATACTGCATACAAAACATGCATCTAAAAGATCATGAAGCAATAGCAATTGTTTCTGAAGACAGTGATGTATTTATCTTGAGTCTGACTTTCTTCAAGGATATTGGAAGGTTTACATAAGATGTAATACTAAGAACCAACTGTAGATTATTAATGTAAACAAAGTTGGCCATTCACTGGTCCAGAAGCCTTGTAAAACCTTAATTGGACTACATTGGCTGCGACATAGTCAGTGTCTTTGGTTGTCGTGGAATGGTGGCTGGCATGAAGCTGATTTGAAAGAAGGCAATCTTCAAAAAGCAATGGCAGAGACAGGATAACAAGATAGTTGGCTACTACCACCAGAACTGATTCTCCTGCTGTAAGATGTATGCAGCTGAATCAAACTTTACACAGGTAAATGAACTACGATACCTCTTGTTTAGAGCTAAAAAGGGAGATGTCGAATCAGAGTATCTTCCACCATGTGATGATATGTGCAAATCATCAGGCAATCTAGAGGAAAAGCTTGGAACAATTTCCAGACATAATAAGTATTGAAGATAATGGTTGGATCATTGAAGATGGGTAGCTGAAGATCGAATGGATGAAATGACTTCTTGCTCCTGATGTTTGTAATGGAGCTTATTGCATGCATACATAGCACACTTTGCAAACTTCCTGATTGCCTGTTCTCTTGCTTGTAGAAGTTAAATGTGTGATAACTTATATGAAGAAGATTATGACGATTTATCTTCAGAGGATGGTCCAGAAGGAGAAGATGGTGATGATAGAGATTCAGATGACATTCAAGTCAGACACTGAAAACGTACAGAAAGGCCATGATGGTGATTGAGATGGTTTTCAAATGCGAAAGTGATTAAAATAATGCTGCTTTGAATTACTAATAATTATAATTATTAACCTTCATCACTTCACTCTTGAACGATGAAAGTTACCTTATGTTTTAAATCAAAAGTATGACTTGTCTATAAGATATTGTTACGACAGCGGGGGGTTACATGACGCTAGTAACACGTCATATTCTCGAAGGTTCGTGAAGCCTCGAGTGTTTACTAGATTTTCGGTATTCTTGTATATAAGACCGACAAGAACTGACGGCAACAATGCAGACAGAGAGAAACTGACAATTGAGTCGAGCACGTGAGTCGTTCGTTGTGAATTATAGCGTTTGTTATAGCGTGACTGTGAAAATTAAATGTATTGCAAAGTTGTATTCAGAAAGAATAAACCAGTTTTATTTAAAACAGGACTTGTATCGCTAAAGTTTCTTCGAAAAGAATTTTTCGGAAAATTAACTAACGACCAGAGACGTAACAGTATTTTAAGATATTGAGAATAAACGTCTTGAAGCACAGCTTTACTTTTTGTCTTAGTTCAGATGTTAAAAGAGTCAATATGGCGTCAATTATTCAACGAAATAAGCATAAACAAAACGGCTTTTATAATTTAACCATTGTTTTTGTTATATAATAAGCAAAAAATGTTTAATTTTAGTTTTCAGCACTGAAAGAGCGTTGTTTTTGTGCATACGATATATATTTTGGAAAATTTCGGTAAACTAACGGTAACCATAGAAACAAGCTCTTTTCTAGCATAAAGCTACTCAGCAGAAAGGTCCACCTGGGCATTTTGGCATCAGGAGATATGTACCAATCCAAATTGCATAATGAGACTTTGCCCTCCTTGATAATACCAATTGGCTAATTTTCAGGTCCTGGCTCATGGACTAAAAATATAGTCAAAGTAAATTTAAGAAAAGAATATTGTGCATTTATAGATCTTTCTAAACCTTCTAACATTATTCAACAGACTATTTTATGAATAGATTTGTTAAGTCTGATATTAATGACTCCCCTTGTTTGAAAATAATGTATGTAAAGTTAAGGTAATAATAACGAAAAAGAAAGTATTTTATTTCTCTTGCCACTTGTTCTACAAGCTCACAGAACGATAACCCTAAGACCTATAAGTTTTCACAGTCATGTACTTATAAAAATTCCCATTGTTCTATAGCACAAAGTTGTAACTGACTGACAAACACACTCGCTAACTCATTAATCGATCGAAAACAATATAAAAGATTAACTAGCTAATTAAATAACTTATTCTCTTTTTTGTATATTTTTACAATATCCCCCCTCTCCAGTCTCTAGAAAATTCGAGACATCGCGTACTCAATACGTCACATAAAATCTAGACATTCAGGAATTTTTTAGGCGTTATACATCATTTCTACATCATGGCAAAACTTCTTCTGTCAGAAAATATAGACATCTAAATTAAAATATAAAAACATTGTTCACGACAATATAAAAATAAAATCATCCCAATCCTGAAGTTTCTCCCAACAACTCGACAATTTCCTACCGTTGCATATACATCACCAATCATCACAATCCCTGCAATATCATATATCGCGTTCACGGTTGCCGTTCTTATGGTCAGTAGTTCAAAAGCAAGGAGCAAAATGCCTGAACCTCGGGGTTCTCACTGTGACCTGTTCGTTTAATCAATTGTGTGCATTGTCTGTTCAGGTAAATAAACAGACTTACTCAACATTAGTGTTCACTTCTTCAAGAATGCCCCCCAGTGGCACAGCGGTATGTATGCGGAATTACAACGCTAGAAACCGGGTTTCGATACCCGTGGTGGGCAGAGCACAGATAGCCCATTGTGTAGCTTTGTGCATAATTACAAACAAACAAATCTTCAAGGATTTTCTTTGTCTTTAAAAACTTAACAATAACTCCTGAGAGTGGTTAGCATCTTACCAAGATAATGAAATATTTCAATTATTATTTCACTAACCTAATTCAGTGACTAATGGCTCAATATTTTGTAAAATATTTTTAAATCCTCAGATTATTTGTTTTTGTACTACTTTAATGATTTTCCGTTTCAAAATTCTTATATTTTAATGCTTCGCTCTCTCACTGTAACGTATTCAGGGTTTCTTTATATTTACGACAATTAATTTTAACCCCAATTAGTTCCATTTTCAAAGGCCCGATAACCTTCTTTATATATATTCATTATTCTCATTTATTTATTTTATTCAAACCATTGCAAATTTTTATTCCGTAAAGTTAGTTCTTTTCACTTCTTTCTGTCTCTGATTATTGTAATTTACTCTACTATTCACGTCCAGATTATTTTGTTCTGCATATCCTAAAGTAAAGTAAATAGCTATATTGCACCTTCAGGATCCTTGGTTAGGCTAGTGTTTCTTCGCTTTTTAATTATTGTTCTAATATTAATCCCAAATAAATTCTCAGTATTTTTCATTTGAACATTTTTGGGCAACTCAGAGTTTTGTTCTGAATTTCCTGAACTTATTAAATATTGAACGATGGCCTGATGGTTAGGGCACTCGACTCGCACTCTGAGCGAACGATGGTTCGAATCCCCATCACACCGAACATGCTCACCCTTTCAGCTGTGGAGGCGTTACAATGTGACGTTATAATCCCCTATTCTTTGATGAAAGAGAAACCCAAAAGTTTTCAGTTTGTGGTGATGACTAGCTGCCTTCCCTCTACTCTATTACTGCTTAATTAGGGACGGCTAGTGCAGATAGCCCTCGTGTCGCTTTGTGCGAAATTCTAAATAAACCAAAACCTGGAATTAAGGAGTACTCAACGAGTTTATAATTCAATCTGAAAAGAGGAATTATTAATTAAGTTTAACTTTGCCTTAATCATTATGCATTATTTGTAACACACATTAAAACGTAAAGGTTTTTGTGAGTGATTTACGAATTTTCTTTTGTTGTTTTTTACATAATGGTGTGACATAGCAACTCCTGGTTGCCACACGCTCTCTGTAAACAACTGGTGACAGTTATTCTTCTGACGCAATTTTCAATATCAAAGACATGTACAAGTACGACAGGCTTGTCTTCTATGAGGAGCTCCTATGTATGTTTTCAATAACAGGTCAAACCTGTACGGCTTGAACTTATTTCTTGCGATATACGTTTCCACTTTTTATGCATTTATTACTCATATTTAAAACGCAATTCTAAATTAAAAACTGCAGTGTGTTTCTATAATCTTGAGAAAAATAACATAAATATTCCTGTACATAAATAACAAGGAGAAATATATGTAGATTAAACACGACAGGTAATGTCGCCTTTAATTTTAGGAGATAAAACAAAAGATTTGGAGAAAAGAACAATCAATTATCAGTAGGGTTGTTATTATTGAAATTGAAAAAAGGTTAATCGATATACAGTAACTTCTCACTGACTTATGTGATACACTTTTAGACAACGAAAAATAACTTCCTACGCTCTTGCTCGTATGTAATACCTTTTGAAAAAGCGAAACAAAAAACAAAAGAAACTTCTCACGAGCTTACGTAATACACGTTAAATCAGTGACAGAATAGCTTCTCAAGCGATTATATAATACAGATTGAGGCAAGGAAAGAATAATTTCCGACATGTTTATGTAATACACTTTGAAGAAACCTAAAAAATATCTTCTCATACGCTTATGTAATACACTTTGAAGCACCAAAATAATATTTTCTCTCACGTTATATAATACAGTTCAAAGCACTGAAAGAATAACTTCTCAAGCGCTCATGTAATACACATTGAGGCAACGAAATGATAACTTTTCACATGGCTATGTAATACATATAGAGGTAACGAAAAGATAACTTCTCACGTGCTTGTGTAATACACTTTGAGACAGCGAAAGCATAACTTCCCATGCTCCTATGTAGTACACTTCGAAAAAGCAAGGAAATAATAGCTTCTCACGCGCTCATGTAATACACTTTGAGGCTACGAAAGAATAATTTCCGACGTGTCTATGTAATACACTTTAAGGAAACGAGAGAATAAATTCTCACCCCCTATGTAATAAATTCTGAGGTAACAAAAGAATAACTTCTCATGCGCAAATATCATACATTTAAAAAACAATGAAATAATAGCTTCTCACTCACTTATGTAATACTGTTTAAACCAGTGAAATGATAACTTCTCACCCACCTATGTAAAATATTTTGAGACAACGAAAGAATATTTTCTCACACGGTTATATAATACAATTCAAAACATTGAAAGATTAACTTCTCAAGCGCATATGTAATTACACATTGAGGCAACGAAAGGATAACTTTTCACATGGTTATGTAATACACTTTTAAACAGTGAAAGAATAACTTCTAATGCACTTATGTAGTACACTTTGAAGATGTGAAAAATATGTTTTATAACGCTTATGTAACACTCTTTCACGTAAGGAAACAATAAATATTTTGCGCTTAGGTAATAAATTTTAATAAAGGAAGGAAAGAATAACTTCTCACTCGTTTTACGTAAAACATTTTAATGCAGTAAAAGAATAATTTCCAACGAGCTTATGCATTACACTTTCAGACAATATAAGAATACCTTCTCATGCGCTTATGTAATAGACTTTGATTCAGTAAAACAATAACTCATTACGCGCTTGTTTATTACACTTTAAGTCAACGAAAGTATAACTTCTCAAATGCTTTTGAAATAGGTTTTCAGGCAACGAAAAAATAATTTCTCACACGCTTTTGTAATATACTTTTATTCAACAAAAAATAACTTAATACGCTCTAAATACGGCAAGAAAAGTATAGCTTGTCAAATGCTTAGATAATACACTTTGAGGAAACGAATGGTAGTCTCTCAAACGATTATGTAATACAGTTTAGGCAACGAAAAAATAATTCCTCATGAACTGATGTAATAGACTGAGGTAACAAAATAATATCTTTTCAATCGCTTAGGTAATACATTTTGAGAAAAAGAAAGAATATCTTCTTATGCGTTTTAGTAATACAATTTATGGCAGCGAAATAATAAATTATCACGCGCTTTTCTAATAAACTTTGTAATGAATTTGTTATTATATATTCATTTTAATATCAACGTTTGTTTAGATTAAGTTTATATTTAAAAACATGCATAGCTTATAGTGTTAGATATGTATTGCGAAACTCCCGCCTATTTTCCAAAGTTGTAGAAGATTCTCGAGAGTAAGAATCAACAATGTATGTATGTACGTAAACGCTTAAATGTAGCTCAGCATTGTTACGTAAAACTGAAAATTCGAGAAAGCCTCCACACGCCTATAAATATAACCAACGGGAAGCGCTAAAAAAGAGTATCTATTTCTAGTTTGCTATAGTCAGTGCGCTATAAACTTTGGAAGCTATAAGTGTGACTGTTATAACGTTTATCAATCGGAAAACTTCAGATATTTGATCACGAGAATTCACAAAGTTCGAACATTACAAATCATTTAATTTCACTGGATTCTCATCGGACATTAGGTTTTTTTACGAAAACATTACCTCACGTCACCAACAGAAAAAATATCGGCGTGTGATCAGCGAGAAGGAAAAAAGCTAGCTAGCTCACTGTTAAGTGAATTGTACCTACATCAACTCATAATCAACTCGCTCATCGTGAGCCTTCGATAAGATATCGAAGAAGTTCCAGACTGGAAAGAATACTTTATATTGCTTGTAAGTTTGTGAAACTTTTGTTTATAAATCATTGTTTGTAATAACTGTTATTGTAAATTGTATTGTTGTGTGTATATTAAAACGTATTTCTGTTAAAAAAGAAAACTGTGTGTATCAATCTTGTTGGCAACTATCATAAACTGACTATATATCGGGTTTTACTTAACTACTAAATCCAAAGTACAATTTAACTATTAAATTTAAATGTATCAGTTAACTAAATTTCAGGCTATTTGAAATTCTAATATGTAACATAATAAATTGGGAGTTCATGTCCGAGATCTGTATCAGAGACAAAATTCGATCTAAATTCAAATTCAAATCACAATTGAATTTCTAATTATCAGTGCCAACAATATTTGATCATGTCTAATTATCAAATTTTCTTGTATTACCTTCCCTTGAACAACTAGAAAAATATAACAAAAATGAATTGCTCGAAATTGCCAAAGTTTTAGAACTAGAAGTTAAAAGATCAATGAGAAAAAATGAACTAAAAATGCGTATTATCGAAATACTAGTCGATGATAATTTGTTGACTGATGAAGCATTAGAGGAATATTCTAGTGTCTCTACTAACCAATCGGAGTTGATGATAAAGATAAATGAGAGATCTAGCTAAAACTGAAACAAATCGAGCTTGAAGAAGCTTGTATCGAAGCTGAAATAGAAAATAAACGCAGCGAGGCCGAACAAGCTCGTATCGAAGCCAACAAAGGGAAAGAAAAAGCTCGAATCGAAGCCGAGAAAGAAGCTCGAATCGAAACTGACAAAGAGAAAGAAGAAGCTCGAATCGAAACCGAGAAGGAACAAGTTCATATTGAAGCCGAGAAAGAACGAGCCAGCATTGAAGCTGAAAGGGAAAATAAACGTCTCGAGGCCGAAAAAACTCGCATTGAAGCCGAAAAAGAAAATTAGACTGAAAGAAATGGAAATTAATCTCAACACTGATCGACCAAGGCAAAATGACAACTTCGAACTTAATCGATATGCTAAAGTACCACAGTTCAATGAAAATGAAGTTGATAAATATTTTCAACATTTTGAAAAGGTTGCCCAAACCATGGAAAGGCCCACCGAAAAATGGTCATTATTATTATTGTTATTACAAGGTGTTTTAACTGGTAAAGCACAAGAAGCTTATGCTGCTCTCTCTCTCTAGAAGATTGTACGAATCATGATAAGGTTAAAGCATCTTTTCTCAAAGCATACGAGTTAGTATAGGAGGCTTCTCGCCAAAAGTTTAGAGGTTATCGCAGACAAGATAATCAAACTTATATGGAATTTGCCCATGAAAAAGAGGTTTATTTTGATCGATGGTGAAATTCTATGTATATTGGCAACAGTTTCGACAAACTAAGACAATTATTTCTAATTGAGGAATTTAAACGTTGTGGAGGTGACGACCTCAAGACTTATTTGAATGAAAAGAAAGTTGAAACACTACAGGAAGCAGCTGTTTTTTCAGATGATTACACTTTAACACATAAAACCACTTTTCATAAAAGAAATTCCTACCATCTCAACAAAAACCTGTATCTGTTCAATCCACTAAAGTTGAGGATTCTTATAAAAAAATCTAGCTCATCTAGTTGGAAATATTTTGACAGTCGGGATAAAACTTTTTTTAAAACAATCGAGGTCTGTCTGCCATTTTTGTAAAAAAACCTGGTCATGTTTTGTCTGATTGTTGGTGTTTGAAAAAGAAAAAAAGAAAAGGAGGCAACACCCAGTGCGTTTTTGTCCACATATGGGCGTGGTTTCATCAAATCACCGGTGTTGTTGATATGACCACTGATATAGAGACTGATGTAATCAGGGAGGAATTTAGACCTTTTGTGTCTCTTGGTTCTGTGTCTTTGA